TGTGCTGTTGAAATGGGTTCCGGGATTGAGATGCTGGGGAAGCACTATTGTGATTTTGAGTAGCAGTCAGGTTAGACCTTTATTCATTATTTTTGAAGGCCTGTTGTACACATCACAGTATAAGCTGCCATCTTCCTCTGGTGCATTCAGAGGTGTAACCCTCCTCTCTCTTTCTCTCTTCCTCTCCCCTGATCTGTGTCTTCTGGGGGAAGATGGGGCTCATTCTACAGGAATGGTCTATTTTGGAGGCAGGGGTAAAAAGTTATCAATTATTATTTCAGTACCCCCAGATAACTCTGCTGGGCAAGGATTATGTGAGGGCTGGTTTTCATTTGGCTAAAGTGCCCAGATACGGCCATGAGATAAAGCAAGGATGAAAAGAATCTCCCATTGATAGGAGCTGCCCAGCACCATGACTTGAGCATTTCAGGCTTCTATGGACAGAGGATTTTATTCTCACTTCTTTTTCTTCCTTTCTCCCTTCCTGGTTTTCCAACCCAGAACACTTAGTGTTATTCTTTGAAACCACACGTCAGCATAGTATAACAGAGAGAACTAGACAGACCTGGGTTTACATCCTGGCACTGTCACTAAGAAACTCTGAGACCCTGAGCAGGTTGTTTGAGCTCTTTGAGCCATTGTTTTCCCAATTCTAAAATAACCACCTCTACATTATAGAATGAAATGAGGAAATGCTTGTAAGGCTCCTTGTCCAATCCTTGCTATGCAGAAAGCACACAAACACTAGCTTCCTGCTACCTTTTCTCTTTCCCCCAACCTTCTTTTCCTGGGGAAAATTAGCTAAATGTGGGTATAGTAGCCAAAGCTAGTCTTGGGTGTGTATTTGGGAGCAAACTATCAGTTTCCTGTGAGCTCCTGGTGAGATCAAAGATGTTAAAAGACACTTCTCAAGTAGGAGAGGCTGAGAAGGCTGTAAATGGCAGTAAGTGGCCGCTCTGGCTACTGTTGACTTCCCACACACGTTTCAGGGCTATTTAATACTGCTGCCTGCTGCCAGTGAAGTAACAAAGCCTGTTCCCTGGGCAGGTTAACTTGCACGCAGCAAACCTTCAACTGAAATGCTTTCTTCATCGGACTCACTTGATCCCTAAGATGCTGAGCTGTTTCTTTTTGGGTGTGTTTTCCTCACACTCCATCTGCCTCTGCTGTTCCCTGCTTTCTTCCACCATTACAGTCTCAGCCACAGTCAGCATCCAAGAAAAAATTATTTCTGGGCTGATAATTTTCTAGTAGTCATACCCATACCCTATTGATAGTTCAAGAAACCTCCAGCACACAAACTTGAATTGCGTAAGTGAGCCATGTTTTACCGCAGTTGGTCAGAGTTAAGAACCAAGAAAAGCGGCCGGGCGCAGTGGCTCAAGCCTGTAATCCCAGCACTTTGGGAGGCCGAGGTGGGTGGATCACGAGGGCAAGAGATCGAGACCATCCTGGTCAACACAGTGAAACCCCGTCTCTACTAAAAAATACAAAAACTTAGCTGGGCATGGTGGCGCGTGCCTGTAATCCCAGCTACTCAGGAGGCTGAGGCAGGAGAATTGCCTGAACCCAGGAGGCGGAGGTTGCGGTGAGCCGAGATTGCACCATTGCACTCCAGCCTGGGTAATAAGAGCAAAATTCCGTCTCAAAAAAAAAAAAAAAAAAAAAGAACCAAGCACTGGTTAAGCCTGTAACCCACCCCGTGAAAGGGGGAAGGAAAGACAGAGGAGCTGTGGGGTTGGAGGTCCCACAGGGGAGCCCATCTCTGTCTTTTAGCAGATGTGTTGGTGCTTCCTCTTTTTTTTGCAGAGATGGAGTCTCCCTGATCAGCCTGGCCAACATGGCCAAACCCTGTCTCTACCAAAAATACAAAACTTAGTCGGGTGTAGTGGCATGTACCTGTAGTCCCAGCTACTTGGGAGGCGGAGGCAGGAGAATCCCCTGAATCTGGGAGGCAGAGGTTGCAGTGAGCCAAGATCATGCCACTGCACTCCAGCCTAGGCAATAGAGGAAGACTCTGTCTCAAAAAAAAAAAAAAAAAAAAAAGAAGGTCTCTCTATGTTGCCCAGGTTGGTCTTAAAGTGCCGGAATTACAGGCAAGAGCCACCATGCCCAGCCAGTCAGTGCATTCCATGTGATCAGGGCCGGAGATGCCCAGACAAGTAACTAACTGAACCCAGGTGATAGAGCCCAGAGGAGAAAGACATTGAATCTGCCTGGTGGGCAGAGGCAGGAGGCTCTGCTAGATTTTGAAAGGCGGGCAGGGCTTAGGAATTATTCTCACCTCAGCCAGAAAATCCTGTGAAGCGGGATCAAAGTTTAACTGCCGTAAGACAAAGAATGTAATAAACTTTTCTCCATCAGCCTCAGCTGAATGGACCATCCTTGCGTTGGAGCTGGACAAACGAAAATACCTCCTCTCTGGGCAACTATTTTCCCCAAATTTTCTTTAAATGGAGTAACTGACATTTCCTATCTGTGGAATGGGTCCAACCGTGGGATTACTCAGAGAGTTAGGTCTCATTGTTTTCCTGCTCCGGCAAGTCTTCCTGACCTCTGTGGTCACCAAGCTGGAGGCATTTCAAGCTAAGTGGGTCACACTTAGTGGGCTCTGTGCAAGGCCTCAGCATCCCACTGCCCGGATTCTCTTACAGGTTGGACACAGCTGGAGAAGCCAAGAGGACCCTACCGGCCCCAGCCCCCATCCTGCCAAGGCATTCTCCATGCCTGGAGCTGAGTGCTCACACTTGGGTGTTTATTTTCACACATAGTCACATAGTGGTCACACTAGCTTGCTTGTTTTCACACTGCTCTCCTGCTGTGGAAAGCCCAGTCTGACTTTTTAGGTTGTGGATTCCATGCTTTCACCTAACTGAGTGTTAAATAGTTTTTGAGTGAGCGTTCAGAGTGCTTGGAAGTTACTATAATTAGCAAAAAAAGAAAATGGTGTTTTCATTTCTCTTGGTGACTGATAGAGAAAGAATCCTTCTGTGAACAAGATCAGCTTCAGAGCTCTGGCCAGAGAGTTGGGAATTGAGCTGCCATAGTAAACAGCTGACATAACAGAAGCGGCAATGATCCCCCATTAAATGTCTTTTAGCCGATAGAGGCTCCCGGGATAATTGACTTTCCAGCAGGAATTACTGGCTCAAACAAAATCACTGGGCATTAGGGCAACCTACTGCATCCTTTGAAAGGGGGAATGTAACTCTGTCTGGTTTTGCTGACCTGACAAGGATAATTCATCTTGATTATTCATTGTGCTAGTTGCTACCAGATGACACCAGATTTCTGGTGACTGTAATTACAATGTGAGATGAGCTTTAGCTTTTTTTTTTTCCTTTTTAAACAATGTTCCTCCCGCTTGGTTATTGGCTCCCCTGGGCTGAAGGTGCTGTAGGAAGGGATCCAACAATGTGTGCCTTGGGAGAGAGGAGTGCACAGTCAGATAGCATTTACCGAGCACTTCCGTACACACAGCTTTTACTAGATAAGCAGGAACAGTTTGGTGTAGCCTGTTTCATTTCAACTGACAGAGTGTCACTTCTTGGTTATACTTACGTCGCTGTTTGCCACATTGCTGCTATCAGAAAGTGGGTTTGCATCTCAGGACCACTTTGAATACGAGAAACAAAGTATGGCCCCAAAATATGACTGCATAATGCCTCCTGCTTTCAGACGAGCTTTATTAAAGGGGGAGATGGAAGAGAATGGAATTCAACCAGGCTTTTATTTCATTGACATGGTTTTAGAAGAAGACTCCAAAAAATGTTCTCCCAAGAAACCACTGCTCCTAGCCCCACACATCCTTTTCTCACCACATACGTACCTCAGCCAGCTGGGTGGCATGATGCACATGTGCCTGTGGTCCTGGGGGAGAAATGAATATGACAGGTTCAGTGTGCACAGGCCACTGGGACCTCCACTGACCAGCGAGTGAACTCCCGGGTGAACAACAGAGTTATACTGTGAGAGTTCATACCCTCACTAGCACAGACGTTTTGATCCCCCATAAGATATGTGTATATTTTTTGAAGAGGTGCTTAGTTGGTGTGCCAGGCAATGTGCTATGTGCCTGAGGACAAAGAAGAATAAGACACCTTTGCTCTCAAGGAGCTTATCATATGGTGGGAATGACAGACACTTCGCAAGTAATATGTTAAAGTCTAAGCTAGAAATGAACAGAGATTGCTTCTAGAGTACTTAGTGTAGCCTTGGTTGAAGGGAAGGCTTCCCACAGAAGGGATCCCTGATTTGAGGCATAAGAGTTACTGGACTGAATAAAGGTAGGAAGCAAGTTGAAGGAATATTTCCCATCCCTTCCTACCTAGTTGAATGGTGTTGCATCAACCCAATCAATTAGATTAGGCTTAGGTTTTCATTATTTCTCTAATAAAAATGAACTCTGGCCCTAGTGGGCAGAGTCTATACTTGGGAACAATCTCAAGCCGTGGCGGCCCTCGTATCACCATGAGTTCTTGCCATGTGGCTTAGGGTTTTGAATGGTGAGGCTTGGCTGAGAGACCAGGACTTCAGAATGTATGTGTCCTGCTCACTTTGACCCTTATCACTTAGGGTGTTGTGTAGGAAACGAGGCTAGGTGTCTTAGTCTGCAGGAAAGTGGCACATCTCAAGAGTGGTAGCTTCTGGGGACCATCTGGGAATGAGCCCATTCTAAGCAACGTGGGCCTTTGTGTCTTCCTCTTCCAGGATTGTCAAGTATAAATGACACCCACTGTTCTCCAACAAACGAAGATGATTCTTCCACCCAATGCCCTCTTATTTTGGAACCAAGTCAAAAGTTAAAAAAAAAAAAAAAAAAAAAAAGATGTCACCCCTGGAAGGGTGGCAGAATTAGTCTTCTGAGTTGTCTTATAAATGTGAGTGAGGATAGCACAATTGCCAAGCATCTTCATCTTTGCCCTAAATGATTACCTTGCCCTCTATCCTAACTCTTTCTCTTCCTTGGCCCCTCTCAACTTTGTTTTGTTCCCTTTTAGAATGGTGGTTTGGCCTGGAGTGATGATGCAGATGGAGGCCGGGGAAGAGAGATCTCTCGAGATTTTGCCAAGGTCTGTAATATTTCCTTCGTGATATAGCTAGGGGCGGTTCTTATATAATAAGCAGAACTGGCTTATCATAGCTGATCCCCAAGAAATAAGGACAGAAGTAGCCAGTGAGTTGCGTTTGTAGTGATTCATATGGTCTTAGTGTATCTGGTGTAAGACTTCAGCAAGATGGAATTTTTCATTGTGTGTTTTTCTTGGGGGATTGGCATTGCAGCTGTATGAACTGGACGGTGATCCTGAAAGGAAAGAGTTCCTGGATGACCTTTTCGTCTTTATGCAGAAGAGGGGTGAGTGTGCATCTATTCATCATTCCAATTCAGGGAATACTGATTGAGTGCCTGCTGTGTGCTAGTCACTGTTAGACATCCTGGCCCAGTCATCCATATCCAGGAGGACAAGAGGCGTTTACTGCCAGTAGGTTCTGCATTTAGCCAAATAACTGATAGCCAGATTGAAGGACAGAGGCGGCCTTGGCACAAAGTAGATGGAATGGTCTTCCACATTGGGCCCTGCCTCATTTTGTGTCTCTTCTTCCAATTAACTGGTCTCTGGAGTCACTTCACATTCAAATATGCCTTTTTTAAACCTTATAGCTACCCTGGACTTCACTTAATCTATCATGTGGGGCTTCTTATTGGCATATCTAGTCTCATAGAGACCGAGAAAGGTAAGTGAAAGAATAGAGGCCCCTCCAGATATTTTGGAAAGGAAAGGCCAACTCTTTCTTCTTACCCATTGGTTTTCGATGTTTGCATCTGCTGGCTTGGTTAGAACATTCCTGCAGTTGAACAGTAAGGTACATAGGCATCTGCTTTTTTTGCGGGGGAGTAGGGGGATGGAGTTTCACTCTTGTTGCCCAGGCTGGAGTACAGTGGTACGATTTCGGCTCACTGCAACCTCCTGGGTTCAAGCGATTCTCCTGTCTCAGCCTCCCTAGTAGCTGGGACTACAGGCGCATGCCACTACACCCGGCTAATTTTTGTATTTCTAGTAGAGTTAGGGTTTCATCATATTGGTCAGGCTTATCTCGAACTCCTGCCCACCTCGGCCTCCCAAAGTGCTGGGATTATGGGTGTGAGCCACCGCACCTGGCCTTTTTTCTTTTTGAGATGGAGTCTCACTTTGTTGTCCAGGCTGGAGTGCCGTGGTGTGATCTAAGCAGGCTCCACCTTCCAGGTTCAAACGATTCTCGTGCCTCAGCCTCCTGAGTAGCTGGGACTACAGGCACACACCACCACATTGGCTGATTTTTTTTTTTTTTTTTTCCATAGGGACGGGGTTTCACCATGTTGGCCAATCTGGTCTCAAACTCTTGACCTCAAGTGATCCACCTGCCTTTGCCTCCCAAAGTGCGGGGATTACAGACATGAGCCACTGCGCCCAGCTGGCATCTGCTTTATAATGCACCCTTTCAATTCTCTTTTCTTCTCTCCTCACTCCCCGCACATCCCCAAGAGCCATCTCCACCTTCATCACCCTCAGGACAAAACCATAGGACAGAGCTACTCCCAGTAGCCTCTTCCCAGGATCCTGTTTTATCTGATCATGCATCCCTTGGTGCCCATGTCAACAACTTTATTGAGACCTAAGAATGAAATCTTCCTCTTTATCCTGGGCCAAGCTGTAATGGCAGCCCCCAGCAGCTAAATATCCTAAATTAACTCCTGTCTGTCTGTCTGTCTGTCTGTCTGTCTATCTGTCTATTTCCCTCCTCCCTCCCACTCCTTTACCTTTGGAAGCTTTAGTCCTTCTTGGTAGCATGTCTGTTACTGCTGTTTTGCTTAAAAAGGCAATTGAAAGTGTTGAATCTTTATTTTCCCCAAGCTCTAAGCCCATCAAAGCAGTCTGAGCAGCCCTAATTAGTTTAACTCCTCCAACTGTTACCTGGAACTGCATGTGTCAGTAAAAAAAAAAACAAGAATATGTTCTTGAGGCCAGGCTCAGTGGCTCACACCTATAATCCCAGCACTTTGGGAGGCTGAGCCTGGTGGATCACAAGGTCAAGAGATCGAGACCATCCCGGCCAACATGGTGAAACCCTGTCTTTACTAAAAATATGAAAATTAGCTGGGCGTGGTGCCGTGTGCCTATAGTCCCAGCTACTGGAGAGGCTGAGACAGGAGAATCGCTTGAACCTGGGAGGTGGATGTTGCAGTGATTGCGCCACTGCACTCCAGCCTAGCAGCAGAGTGAGATTTCATTTCAAAAATATATATGTAATGCCGGGCGCGGTGGCTCAAGCCTGTAATCCCAGCACTTTGGGAGGCCGAGGCGGGTGGATCACGAGGTCAAGAGATCGAGATCATCCTCGTCAACATGGTGAAACCCCGTCTCTACTAAAGATACAAAAAATTAGCTGGGCATGGTGGCATGTGCCTATAATCCCAGCTACTTAGGAGGCTGAGGCAGGAGAATTGCCTGAACCCAGCAGGCGGAGGTTGCAGTGAGCGGAGATCGCGCCATTGCACTCCAGCCTGGGTAACAAGAGCGAAACTCCGTCTCAAAAAACAAAAAAACAAAAAAACAAAAAACAACAAAAACAAACAAACAAAAATAGATATATATACATATGTATACATATAATCCTGAAAGATAATGTAACTTGCTGCAATGAGCCTCCCTGTTTGCCCTGAGAGAGAGAAATCCACTTAATACTTTGGTCTCCCCTTCCAATTACCTTTTAATTATTTACAAGCTCCACAAGCCCAGCTGGTGCAAACCCAGGAGCTGATCCTGTCTCAGAGGGGCTGCCATAGCAATATAGATTTTAATCAGCAGTAGAGCTCCACCACTTTATTTTCTACTTTATTGTTTTTCTCCCTTCCCTGAAGGATTTTTAAAGGAAAATGGAAGTTAGATCAGCCAAGCCAATTGCAAAGATCAATGATTATTTCCTACTCTATGTCCCCACTAGACTGGGAGCATCTCAAAGAGGGCCACTTTGTCATTCTTTCATGTCCCCAGTGCCAGCACAGGTCCAGGCAGGAAGGTGCTCAGGACGTGTTTGCTATGTGAGCAGTCTTACTGGTTTTCCTGGCTCAGCTTGCCACATGCAGGGTAGTCAAGCTGCCTTGAGGTTTGGGTGCATCTGTGTCCTTCAGCCAGCTGCCCCGTAATTGAGAGTCAGCAGCAGAGAACAGTCTTTGCTGCACATCCTGCCGTTCTGCGGCAACTGAGACTGCCAGATTGCCATCTAGTATATTACCGGGTGAACCCAAAGTAGGAGTGAGTGACTCCCTTTGATAATGTCACTTGACGGTTCTTCAGGCCCTAAGTAAATCTTTGTCCTGTCTTCAGCACTTACGTCAGGTATTTCACTGTTTGCTGGCATTACCAAGAGAAGGGAAACTGCTCTATTCTGTCTGCTACTTGTTACTTTAATAAAAGGTTTCTAAGCCTCAGCACTGTTGACTTTTGGGATGGATAGTCCTTTGTTGTGGAGACTGTCCCGTGCACTGCAGGATTTTATTTTTATTTTTGAGACAAGGTCTCACTCTGTTGTCTCACCTGGAGTGTGATGGTGTGATCATAGCTCACTGCAGCCTCGAAGTGCTGAGCTGAAGCCATTCTCCTGCTTCAGCCTCCTGAGTAAAGTTAGCCACCATGCCTGGCTAACTTTTTTGTTTTGTAGAAATGGAGTCTCACTATATTGCCCAGGCTGGTATTCAACCCCTGACCTCAACTCCTGACCTCCCACCTCGGCTTCCCAAAGTGCTGGAATTACAGGTGTGAACTACCGCACCTGGTCACTGTAGGATGTTTAGCAGTATCCATGGCCTCTGTCCCCTGGATACCAATAGCAGCCACCCAGTCATAACAACCGAAAATGTCTCTAGATGTCGTAAATGTCCCTTGGAGGGCAAAATTGTCCCCTGTTGGGATCCTCTGGAATGAAAAGATGGGAAAGATTATAAAAATGTGAAGTTTCCTCTGCAAGAAAAACTTAGCTGAGTGCGGTGGCTCACTCCTGTAATCCCACCACTGTGGGAGGCTGAGGCAGGAGGATCAGTTAAATCCAGGAGTTCAAGATCAGCCTGGGCAACATAGTGAGACCTTGTCTCTACAAAAAGTAAAAGCAAAATTAGCCAGGCGTAGTGGTGCATGCCTGTAGTCCCAGGTACTGGGAGGCTGAGGTGGACGAATTGCTCAAGCCGGGGAGTTGGAGGCTGCCATGAGCCAAAATTGCACCACTGCCCTCCAGCCTGGGGGACAAAGTGAAACCATGTCTCAAAAAGAAAAAAGGAAAAAAAAAAAAAACTTTTTATGGAAATCATCTTGCCTCCAGTCAGGTACATGAGAGCAAGCCATGTCAGGTGGCATTGTGTCCTGTGACTGAGTGCTGAGGGAGCGGGTGCTGGGACCCCACCCTAGGCTGGGGTGCAGAGCAAGCCTCCGAGAGGAGCTGTGGCTCCAGTGGGTCAGACCCAACCATGTAGGTGGAGGAAAAAATGCTGCGACCTGTGGCCCTGCCATAGCTGGAAGAACCCTTGTTGGTAGCCCAGAGCCAGGGGCCGTCTGAATGGGTCAGCTGGCACCAGACTCTGAAGGGCCATGTTTGGCCAAAAAGTTAGCACTTCAGTCTATAGCTATAGCTTTAGCTAAATTATTGAAGGCAGAACATTGGCGTTCAGGAAACTTGCTGTGGCAATGTGTCATTGGGCTAGAGAGGAGAGACTGAGACAGGAAGATAATGTAGAGGCTGTTATCTAATTTCCCAGCGATCTCCTTCCTGGAAAACCCTTGTCTGGTAGTCTGAACTAGAGTGGTGGTTCAGGAGGGTTGGGAGGGTGGGACATGGTGGCTCATACCTATAATCCCAGCACTTTAGGGGGCCAAGGTGGGAGGCTCACTTGAGGCCAGGAGTTTGAGATCAGCCAGGGCAACATAGCAAGACCCTGTCTGTATTATAAAAAAAAAAAAAAGATGTAATCCCAGCTACTCTGGAGGCTGAGGCAGGAGAATTGCTTGAACCCAGGAGGTGGAGGTTACAGTGAGCTGAGATTGCATCATTGCACTACAGCCTGGGCTACAAGAGCAAAACTCCATCTCAAAAAAAAAAAAGAAGAAAATTTTGAAAGAGAGGTGGGAGTAGATGGCACTTTTATTTTAATTATTTTATTTTATTTTATTTTATTTATTTTTGTGGCAACAAGGCCCTTATGTTGCCCAAGCTGGTATCGAACTCCTGGGCTCAAGTGATCCAACTGCCTTGGCCTCCCATAGTGTTGGGATTACAGGTATGAGCCACCACACCAAACCCGGCCTCAGTTTACACTTTTAATCATGT